AAATTGTCTTATGTAAACGCAGCGCAAGTGAAATAGAAAACTTTTACAATTATATTTCGAAGAAGCCTTAACTAATATACTTTTTCTTTAAGTATTCGAGGACAATAAAATATCATGTGTTTCGCGACTTTCGAGTTTGCAATGATTGCCAGCTCAAATATTATGGCAATGTCGCAATTTTGTCGCACGAGAGTTTCCATACAAAAGTAATCAGCTGTGTCGCGAGGTGGCAAACTTTCGCTTAAATCTCGTATGTTTCCGTTTTGGAAAGCCATCCCAAAACTCGCAAGTGAATAGTTGTTGCACAGTTTTGACATTCTGCTGTAAACATTTTACTATTTATAAATCAGTTTTAAACTCTTTTCTTTACACACAAGCACTTACACAGTCCAGAGGGTCAATTACCGTTCTGCGTTATCGTGAAATGAAGTGAAAAGTATAAAATTAACACCGAAATAAAACCGGTGTGAAGGTGTTATTTTTATCACTTCACGATAACGCAGAACAGGAAGTGACCCTCAGAGGTTCAATTCTCGTTCTGCGTTATTGCGAAGTGACAAAGAACGTAAATCTATAAGAGACCATGGTGTAATACAAGAATGATAGAATACAAGATTGCGCCAATCGAGCTGAGAGCAAGTGGCCGTGACGTCAATAAATACCAGAATGAGAGAGCAAGACGAACTCGGCAAGGAAAAGAGGAAGCAGCGGACAAAAGGCAGTATTGCCAAGTTTTAAATTTGAAAAAGCCCCAAATTTTTATTGGTGTATTTTATAGAATTTATATGCGTACATAATTTTATTGTAAGGATGCCGATTCAAATTAATAAAAATCAATGTTTCTTCCACGACGGTTGATTTCTTCTGGCATGATTGAAGGTGCTGCCACACATTTTGTTGTGCTGTGCCATGATTTTGTTTAAATTTTTGTAAAGTTACTTACCACACTTATGATTGCTATAAATTTTGCTTCAAGTTTTTTAAGATTTTCTAATGTGGTGTCTTCAAACTAAAAACAAAAGCACCAAAAACGCGCCATGCGCTAAACTTAAAAATTTTCGCGTTTTAAATACCCACTAAATTTGGTGCGAAAAGCATGAAGTTGGCAACAGGGAATGTAAACAAAAGAATTTTATGACGTCAGCGATTAGGCGGATGCTGTCAAATCGACGAAGAGAGGGTTAGCGCTCCGCGAATGACGCGACCTTTATTTTCTGGATCGTGCCTTTAATATATATCTATTAATCACTTACTTAAGTAAAACGCGTTTATAAATGTGCCTACAAATTGTAGCACTTTTCACAAACAAACACCCAATAAACACTAAAAAAATATTTCTCCAACCTTGGAGAAATTCATAGTTCTCAAGTTGATATCCAACATCATTCTCCAACTCATCTCTAGATACGTAAAAAGTGATAGAGAAACGAATTTTTAATTATCAAGTGAAAAACTAAAGCTATATAAAGAGGAAAATTACCAACAAAAAGTAAATAATCTTCAAAATATCCTCAAATAATCTTGAAAGAAGATAAAACGCCAAGTGAATCAAGTGGCAAAATTTCTGTCGGACTGTGTGCTGTGAAGTTAATTATTGTAATACGATTTTGCTTAACTACATAATACAAAAGGAGTAATAAAAGAAAAAATTAATATTTAAATTCATCTATGTATGTCGTTTCAATCAAAAAGGTATAAGGTATTTTACTATCTCAATTTCAGTATTTCAATGATATGTTTGGGACCAATTGGAAAATTACATTGGACTTCAAGTTGAGAACTAGCATTTTCTCAACTTGAGAATTAGTTTTTTTTTCATACAGAGAAAAATGCCCTTTTTGTTGAGAAAGCTATGATCCTCCACTTGAGGTACTGTTGAGAAACAACGTTGGAGATTTGAGAAATACCTTAGTTCTCAAGTTAACCTCAAGTTGAGCTCAAACCTAAATGTTCATTGTGCAGCAATAACTTCAGCAGGGATCGAACCTGCGTAATCGATGTGCAAAGTCAGAAGTGTTAACCAGTGAGCTATGTACACCCCGTAAACTCTTGTTGCTAATTCATTTTCCTTATTCAACCAACTACTATCAAGTGCTGCTGATTTGCCGCTATTTAAACTTGACAGCGTCGTTGTTGTTGTCAATTCTATACATCCATTTGCTTTTTTTTGCTTTATTGTATATTTAGTTTCACGCAGGCTCTTCCTAAACTGTGTATTTGTCAATGTTATTGTGGCTTATTAACATTTTATTTTTAATATTTTTATTCAGCTTTGTACCACGATTGTTTATTAGGAAAAATTTAAAAAGCAACAAAGTCTAAGCGGTAGAAGTTAAGCAGCTATTTTGAAGATCACCACATCTCCTCATCAGACTTCTTTTTTCTAGACTTCAGCAGGGATCGAACCTGCGTAATCGATGTGCAAGGTCAGAAGCGTTAACCACTGAGCTATGTACACCCCGAAAACTCTTGTTGCTAATTCATTTTCCTTATTCAACCAACTACTATCAAGTGCAGCTAATTTGCCGCTATTTAAACTTGATAGCGTGGTTGTTGTTGTCAATTCTATACATCCATTTGCTTATTCGCTTTATTGTATAGTTAACATTTTGTTTTAATATTTTTACTGAGCTTTGTACCACGATTGTTTATTAGGAAAAATTGAAAAAGCAACAAAGTCTAAGCGGTAGAAGTTATAGCACTATTTCGGAGATCACCACATCTCCTCATCAGACTTCTTTTTTCTAGACTTCAGCAGGGATCGAACCTGCGAATTCGATGTTCAAAGTCAGAAGCGTTAACCACTGAGCTATGTACATCCCGTAAACTCTTGTTGCTAATTCATTTTCCTTATTCAACCAACTACTATCAAGTGCTGCTGATTTGCCGCTATTTAAACTTGACAGCGTCGTTGTTGTTGTCAATTCTATACATCCATTTGCTTTTTTTTGCTTTATTGTATATTTAGTTTCACTCTTCCTAAACTATGTATTTGTCAATGTTATTGTGGCTTGTTAACATTTTATTTTTAATATTTTTATTGAGCTTTGTACCACGATTGTTTATTAGGAAAAATTGAAAAAGCAACAAAGTCTAAGCGGTAGAAGTTATAGCACTATTTCGGAGATCACCACATCTCCTCATCAGACTTCTTTTTTCTAGACTTCAGCAGGGATCGAACCTGCGAATTCGATGTTCAAAGTCAGAAGCGTTAACCACTGAGCTATGTACATCCCGTAAACTCTTGTTGCTAATTCATTTTCCTTATTCAACCAACTACTATCAAGTGCAGCTGATTTGCCGCTATTTAAACTCGACAGCGTGGTTGTTGTTGTCAATTCTATACATCCATTTGCTTATTTGCTTTTTTGTATAGTTTCAGGCAGGCTCTTCCTAAACTATGTATTTGTCAATGTTATTGTGGCTTGTTAACATTTTATTTTTAATATTTTTATTGAGCTTTGTACCACGATTGTTTATTAGGAAAAATTTAAAAAGCAACAAAGTCTAAGCGGTAGAAGTTAAGCAGCTATTTCGGAGATCACCACATCTCCTCATCAGACTTCTTTTTTCTAGACTTCAGCAGGGATCGAACCTGCGAATTCGATGTTCAAAGTCAGAAGCGTTAACCACTGAGCTATGTACATCCCGTAAACTCTTGTTGCTAATTCATTTTCCTTATTCAACCAACTACTATCAAGTGCAGCTAATTTGCCGCTATTTAAACTTGATAGCGTGGTTGTTGTTGTCAATTCTATACATCCATTTGCTTATTCGCTTTATTGTATAGTTAACATTTTGTTTTAATATTTTTACTGAGCTTTGTACCACGATTGTTTATTAGGAAAAATTTAAAAAGCAACAAAGTCTAAGCGGTAGAAGTTATAGCAGATATTTTGGAGATCACCACATCTCATCAGACTTCTTTTTTCTAGACTTCAGCAGGGATCGAACCTGCGTAATCGATGTGCAAAGTCAGAAGCGTTAACCACCGAGCTGTGTACACCCCGTAAACTCTTGCTGCTAATTATACTTATAATTATGATTATAATAGACAAATTAAAGGAATGTTTAATAAAAAACGCGATTATTATGTCCGTTTTCTGTGTTTTTCGGATTTTTTTTTATGTTTGGCAGCACCAACATTTCCGTTCAATTGGTCTACAATGAAAAAAGTGTAGTTGAATTGGTTTTTTTTTTTGCAAATTTAAATGCAAATTGCTTAAAAACTATAAGCTTTCAGAGCGTAGATTTAGAATCAGAGAGACCAACTGCCTGGATCCGTTTTGGAAAATTTTCCCTAAGTTTTTAGTACTTTGTGTTCAATACCTTTTTCTGCTAGTTTTCTCTTCTCAATTTCTTCTCAATTTCAGGCTCTATTTCGCTCTTACGCTCTGGCTTCAATTTTAACTAGAGGAGTTACTATACATACCTGTTAATATATTTGTAATTTTGCCACTATATTTTATTTTTTACTGTGTTTATCTGGACCTTTGCTACAGCTGAAATTAGTCAAGAACGCAGAACGTATACTTAACCGCAGTCTGTGTACGCAGAATTTTGTCGATTACTGGAGCCTTCAGTGTTGCTTACTACAGTGTTGCCACTGATCAATGCCTTTTCATAAACTTACCTTTTCAACTACAATTTTTCGTTCTATAATAGATCGTAGCTAAATATAAACTACTTAGTTTTCAACAAAAAACCTTATTCATTAGTAAATTTCAAATAGTTTAAACGTATTTTGAATAGGAAATTATAACTTTTTTACCATCTGCAAAACTGACGAAGTGGCAACCATCTATAGAACGAAATCAGCTGACACGGAAAAATCTAAATTCCACAGATTTCTGCGCTACGGTTACGTGAAGGGCCAGCCTTGATGGTGGCGTCCGAACACTGATCCCGCAGAACATAAACAAATGTAATTCCATCAAAACATATGTTTGTTTACAATTGTAGATTTTGTGTTTGAAATTTTTAGCGAAAATTCGGTGAGTGAAAATAAGGTCATATTCGTATATTTAATTGTCCATAACGAAAGTTATTAGCTGCTGAATTTATTGCTTTAGCTGAAGAAATTACAGAATTGAAAAAAGTATAGTTCGGTGATTTACTTGTGGAAATAGCAGCAAGGGCGCACGTGTGGTGAGGAGTTCTCGTTACAACGTTGTGGCGGGGCTATACCACGAGGGTCGCGTTCCGGCTTCAGCAAATGTTTCTGCAGTGACCAAACAATATCGCTAGCCAGAGCGCTGATACATAACTTTATGCTTGATTCATAGTTCAATTTGTTTGCAGCATAACTAAGAATACCTTTGGTCATCTGACAGGTAAGGAAATTGCGGTTCAAATCTGTTGAAATATGGAATTGTTTTTATATTTATTGTAATGCAATGTGTTCTACAATTCTTACTGAGCAATAATGGGCGCACATCCATAATTTTATTAGAGAAATGACAATCGATTGCAGAGAATACTCTTCTACCAACGCCTATTATAAGCTCTCGTTTGAATTTGATGATATAATGTTCGATGAAAATCAATTCGTTGCGGCACAAATTTGGCATATTATTAAATATGTGCTCCTCCGAGTGGACTTTTATGGAGGCGAGCGAGCCCTAAAGAAATAGAGATTTATGAACTAAGTAATTGTATTTGCAGAAATTAGTTCTCTGCTTTACCACTGGCGTAGGTGTTCGAGCCCCTACAGTTTTAACGTCAACCATTGGGTGAATAGCGTAACTGGATTGCCCTATTGTCATTGGCAACCGATTAAACGATACAATAGTCGGTCGCTGGCTCGTCGTACCGTAATTATTTACAACTTGCTCCCGAATATGTGCACTAATTTGAGATGATCTCTGAAATATAGAATAGAATACTATTTTGTACTATACTAAGCAAAAAAAAACCACATACAAATATCACAAAACGTTTAGCTTCATCGAAGAACTGATCGACACGTTCTCTCACTTGTTTACATATTCTAGGATCCTTACTCAAATCTTTGTCAAATATCTTAATAATATTGGTTATTATAAATTTTGCCGCCTTGTAAATCGGATCACCTGGTTCGAATGGCATAACCAGCTGATTTTCAATATCAATAGCAACATTTAAAGCCTCACAAAGTTGATGATCCAAGAGTTTGTCGAAACTTTCATTTGGCCTATCACAGAATGCCATGCCATTATCCGTTTTTGGATTAGGAAGTAAAATGTGTTTTAGTTTTTCCCTGGGGTATTTATGAAGCTTGCTCTGTTTTTTCATTAGTTTTGCACGTTCCTTGATTTCGTCTTGAATACGTGACCATTTCTCACTATATTTCTGTCGGTGATCCTAATTAGGAAAAATGTGTGTGTTTAAATCTGTTTTATATATAAATATTTGCACACCTCAATAAACAGTTTTCTCTGTGTGTCTGTTGTCTCAAGCAGACCTTTCATTTTATCCTGGTATGTTATACGCTCTTTCAGTCGTTTTTCCCAAGAAATTGTTTGGATTTGCTCATGTTTCCGATGCCGTTCGTACTCCACATTGCGTAAGTTTTTGTGTAAGCGATCTTTTTTCAACTGGAGTACTTTCTTTAATTTGATGAGGTGTTTTCTTTGCAAATCAGCAGAAGCTTCCAAATGACGCTGAATTTTCATATGATTCAGCAACTTTCGGTACTCATGATAGGCCTTTTCCATTTCATCGGCAGCCGCCTTGCGTTCTATTCTATATTGTGTACGTTGCCATAATTTCTGAAAGCGGGCGGTTCTTATGTTCTCAAGTTTTCGTTTGCGTCCCTGTATCTCAGTAAAACTGCTTTGTCGAGCAGCTAAATTGTGGTGATCACGAGTAGTTATTGCCTCGGCGTTAGTGATTAGCATTCTATCGTGTTGCTCATTTTCCTGGGATCGATCGCGTTTATTAATAAGAGTTCTTAAGGTTCCTGAAATAGTTTACCTGACGATTAATTTCCTGCAATACATAGTATAGCCTTGTTCGGTGCAGCTGTTGACGGTATTCGTTGAAATCTTTTAAATTACAGATCACATCATTATTTTGAGTTATTTCCCCATTTTCACGTAAACGCTTTCGAAATCAAACCACATCAATAAAAAAACACAAAGAAATCTTAAGGTATTGGCACAATGCAGGCTTGCTTCGCTTTGCAATGTTTCAAATAGGTAAATGTTTTACTTTAAAGCGTTTTGTACGCTTTTGACTAAGAGGTATGTACGTTCCCATTCTAACAGCCGCACTCAGAAACGTTCCTTAAATTAGCTCTAACGGGCACTTAACTAAGGATCGTTAAATCCATGATATAAAAAAGAAGGTAGTTTCAATAAACAATTTTTTGATTAAAAAGCAGATTTTTGACAATTGCTCAATTGTGAAAAATTCGAAGCGGCGTTACCCAATTGTAAGTTTTTTGGTGTGGGAGATTTTATATTCTTAATTTGGGATTATAAATAAAATAGTTGTGTTAATATTTACCTTTTAATAATAATGAATATCTTATCTTAAAAACGTCTAAATTTTACATTCAATTCGATAAAAACTTGCCAAATCATTATTTTAATATTAATACAATTTTAGTGAACATATTTTAAAATTTTTTTAGTGTCCTCATGATCATCTGATTATTTCACAATGTAGTTTTCTATATCGGATACGATGATTCTGATATAATTCAGACCCTGAAATTATACATTTCGATCTGTTATTTAATACATATTGTCTTTGTCTATTTAACAGCAAATGTAATTTGCTTTGGGACCCATGGGCCGCGAAATTTTTCCAGCAACACACATTGTTTCCAGATGAAGTTTTGACACACCCAAAAGTGAAGTATAAAATAAATAGATAAAACAAATTTTCAATCAAACTGATTTCTGTAGTTCAGGGGCGTCTTTTGCTAAATGTTCTGGAGGCTGTTTTAATTTATCCTATCTTATTATATATTTCTTAGCCNGACCCATGGCCCGCGAAATTTTTCCAGCAACACACATTGTTTTCAGATGAAGTTTTGACACACCCAAATGTGAAGTATAAAATAAATAGATACAAACAAATTTTCAATCAAACTGATTTCTGTAGTTCAGGGCGTCTTTTGGTAAATGTTCTGGAGGCCGTTTTAATATATCCTATCTTATTATATATTTCTTAGCTCTTCTACATTCTGAGAAGTTGAGAGAATGAAGTCTAATGTTCTTTTTTGGTCAACTACGACGTTTGATTTCATTTTTTGCAATCATTAGTTCATTTCCTTTGAGGAGTCACAATGGCCATACCGGCTATCTCGATTTTTTGAAATTTCGGACACAAATCGTCCATGAATGGTTATAGGCTAAAACAAAACCGTTATCTAAGGGGGTGTGGAACCTCCCATACAAATCGAATTTTTCATAGTGCATATCTCTGGAAGTATTTATGGTAGTGTTCTGGAACTTGGTATGGATATATGTATGTATATGAAGTCAATCTCAAGCTCGTGAAAAAATATGGGTTTGTTGGAAAATGCAGCGTGCCACCGTAGAACTTGGAAAAGAGCTAAATGAAATCAATCCCAAACCTATTAAAAATGGGGGTATATGAAAACGATCTCGTAGCCAGCTACGAGAGCTAGCGGTGTAAGCCATATAAACTAAAATTCTGGTGACGCATAGATACCTCTGGAAGCATTTACCTAGCATACGGAGATGAGGCATTTTTACCTTCCTCTTATTAACTCGGGATGTAACTATGTAATATTGATGCGCCTAAAAGATGCAGCGATTTCTATTCTCAAGTTACATACCTGATGACAGTACGAATGGCAATTATAATAGGGAGGTTTTAGTTTTTTAAACTATAATTTTTTCCAATGGAAATATGTACAGAAAAACGGGCGCGAAGCCTTCTGGAAAGTAACATGATCACAGGGTGTATCCCTAGAACCATGTTAAGCTAAACCTTGAGGCATTACATTCTTGTCAAGACCGACAGGCATAAGCTGAAATTGCGTCGCAAGTTTTACGATCGGCTTGGGTAAGGTTTAACCACTTAACCCCCCTTTGTTTTCGCCGCTACTGAATTGTATAAACTGTCAGCTTTCACACAATTTAAAATGTCATGAAAATTGTGTTGCTAGCTTCATTTTGCAAAAATGTTGCAAGCTTTTTCACAGCGTGAACAGAATAGTACTTTGCTGAGGAAATGTCGAATTTCACACTTGTTTCACAGAAAGAAGTTTTATATGCAATTTAACAGCTTTATCACGTAAAATAGGAATAAAATACATACTTTGCTTAAAAACAAAGATTTTTAAATCGACAAAAAATTAATAAGAAAATTTGAGGTATTTTAGATTTTGGGTATGGTAGCACGAAATGTCACAATCTGCTTAATTGTCAGGTTGTTAATATGGCGACGGAAAAGTGACAATGGAACTACCTTGTTTTTTGTATCATGGTTAAATCTGTTAATTAATGATTCCTCTCAGAGCTAAAAACTATGAAATAAAAACTCAAGGCATATTCAACAAGGTAGAAGTGAGCTCTCTCATACCTGACTGTAATGTCAAAAAACGTAAACAAAGAAATTAACCCTTTGTTAGCATGTACCATATTTGATAAAATTCAATATCTATGAAATTAAAGTTTTTGTAAATATGAAAATATTTAAAATCACATCAAATCGGCTTCATTTTAGTTTTTGTATTTTCGTTTAATGTAAATGTGGAAATGCATATCTACTTACTCAAACCTCCACATTTATTTATAAAACCGTTTTGGCAATTTTCTTGTTTTTATTAGCCCAATGTTTTTGATCATTTATTTTTTTAATCAAATACTTAATTCTAGAGTATATTCGACATGAAAAAAAAAAGTTTTGATTCTTTCTTCTAAATTCACATCGGAACTTAACTTCAATAGTTCAGCTATTAAATTTTTGCAATGCGAAATTTCTTTTCCATTAAATTTATTAAAAATTACTTCCAGTTTCTTTATGTCCACAAGTATTTCTGGTTTAGGTTTTATCATACCACCATTTGACATTTGGTCTATCCATGTAATGCTTAATTTCCGTATGATAAATCCAGCTATGTATGAAAAATAAAACCACGACTCTTTTCACATGGCATTATGAAAAAAGGAAAAGGGATGTTAAGAACCAGAACGTCGAATTTATAACAGTAAGGGCCGTTTGCACCATGTCTAGTTAATTCTAACTCCCAGTTAGACATCTTTATCGACGTTATCGACACCCATCATATAACATGTGATCGATAAAGCAGTTAACGTGCTTAACTGAAGGATGTACCTCCAGTTAGCGTTAACTAGACATGGTGCAAACGACCCTAAATGGCGATCTAAAGCGGTAAATTTAGTGGAACGAAATTGTATCATGGTGTTCGCGGAGCATTTGCTTGTATGTATATGTTAATGTACTCGTGTATCCGGTCGTGCTTGTTTATGGCAGACTTACTCAGTTTGAATCTGTGCATCAACAGCTAACTTCGTCCCCACAGACACCTCAGGAACGGCTGACACTTCAGATAACTCAAGCATTGGGGAATTGTATGGTAGAGGTACTGCACCTGGGAACAAACGCGTCCGCTTGGAAATACTCGACTGTGATGGGCAACAAATAAAGTCGCTGCCACTAAAATGGTGTTCGCACACACGCGAAGAGTCTCCTAATGGAACACCGCAGCTACTTGCCCACCGCTGTCGCTTCACTTGACAATTAGGAGGTTTAAAATAACGCACAAGTTTGTTGTCCTGGCTCTTGCCACACAGAGCGCACCGCACGTAATTCCTTTTCATTTTATTTTTGTATGTATGTATTTAAAATCCGTCGCACAGCTCAAAATTGAAAATTGAAATTAAAAAATTAAAATTTTGAATTGTATAGGGTTAAGAGTTGACATTACAGTCGCAGTTCGAAAGAGAGAAATGTCGAAATCACTTCTACCTTGTTATGCCTTGTAAAAAATTAAAGTATGGCCCCAGTTGCGGCCCTTCATTTTTGTGGCATCACTCACTTTTTTCGTCCAGTTTGAAAAAAGATGTAAAAATAAGTATTTATATCATTTTGCGCGCATCGGCTCAACAGACGCCATGGCTGAGTGAGCAGAGTACTGGCGTGCCATTCGAAAGATCCGAGTTCGAGTCCTAGGGCAGGAAAATTTTATTTTTCCTTTTTTATTTATTTATTTATTTTTTCTTATTTAATTTTATAAACTGTCTGTATTGAATTTGTTAGCTTTTTTGATCTAATTTTCTTTTGGTGTATAGATTTTAGTGCTTTAAAAAGAAAACAATTTTTTTTTTAGTTTAATTAAATAGTTTGCTAAAAGACAAACAATACCAATAACAGGCCAATCCTGGCATCTGCCTTTCAACTCACCTCAGTCTTTCGAGAGACAAAAGTCTTTATATTTCGGCAACTATCTTCAAAGCCCTTTTCTGTATTTCGAATAACTAATTGACAGATGTGCTAATAGTAGGTGCAATCCCGTATTCCTCGGACTCGGACTAGTAAAACTGTCAAAANATCGCTTTCTAGTAAAAAATGGTAACTTCTGTCAACTTCAACATAACCTCCAAATTTTGGTTGTAAATTTTTGCTTATTTTGTATGTAAACACACTCAGCTCACACATGCAAATAACCAAAAATAGTTTCAAATTCATTAGAGTCCACTTAAACAAGTAATTAAATACTTTTCAACATTAATTAGCAGAAAGCACTTTTCTTTTGTTTACAATTTGGTTGNTTAAAATTTTGAATTGTATAGGGTTAAGAGTTGACATTACAGTCGCAGTTCGAAAGAGAGAAATGTCGAAATCACTTCTACCTTGTTATGCCTTGTAAAAAATTAAAGTATGGCCCCAGTTGCGGCCCTTCATTTTTGTGGCATCACTCACTTTTTTCGTCCAGTTTGAAAAAAGATGTAAAAATAAGTATTTATATCATTTTGCGCGCATCGGCTCAACAGACGCCATGGCTGAGTGAGCAGAGTACTGGCGTGCCATTCGAAAGATCCGAGTTCGAGTCCTAGGGCAGGAAAATTTTATTTTTCCTTTTTTATTTATTTATTTATTTTTTCTTATTTAATTTTATAAACTGTCTGTATTGAATTTGTTAGCTTTTTTGATCTAATTTTCTTTTGGTGTATAGATTTTAGTGCTTTAAAAAGAAAACAATTTTTTTTTTAGTTTAATTAAATAGTTTGCTAAAAGACAAACAATACCAATAACAGGCCAATCCTGGCATCTGCCTTTCAACTCACCTCAGTCTTTCGAGAGACAAAAGTCTTTATATTTCGGCAACTATCTTCAAAGCCCTTTTCTGTATTTCGAATAACTAATTGACAGATGTGCTAATAGTAGGTGCAATCCCGTATTCCTCGGACTCGGACTAGTAAAACTGTCAAAAAATAAAAATTCGCTCAGAGCGAGAGAGTAACACTGAAAAGTACGGGATCGCTTTCTAGTAAAAAATGGTAACTTCTGTCAACTTCAACATAACCTCCAAATTTTGGTTGTAAATTTTTGCTTATTTTGTATGTAAACACACTCAGCTCACACATGCAAATAACCAAAAATAGTTTCAAATTCATTAGAGTCCACTTAAACAAGTAATTAAATACTTTTCAACATTAATTAGCAGAAAGCACTTTTCTTTTGTTTACAATTTGGTTGCCAAACACACTACAGCTGATCGTTTGACACATTTACCAGAATTTACCAGCAAAAAATTCTCGGACTAAAACTGGTAACTTCTGACAGAGAGAACCGTATTCTCTCTCTGTTTTGTCCTCTCAGTAGTCAGAGAACCGAATACGGGATCGATTTCCAGTAAAATCTGACTGATTCTGACTATTTCTGCCTAGTCCGGACTCGTACGGGATCGCAACTAGTGTTATTATATTTATCGCTTAAGGTGTTCTTACACGATATGTTTTTGCATGTGTACATGCCGCTTTTTACATATGGAAATACCAACATATCGTGTAAAGGCAAATTAGATTTGTTTCTGTACAAAGCATATGCACGTACATACGAAATAGAAATGTTTCTATTTTCATCTGACACACAGATAGAATCATCTAAGGATACTTTATTTCGTTTTCAAAGATCGTATTTTTAAAAAGTTAAATAAAGACTGAATTTGACAGACATACGCAATTACATATGTATTGAAAAAGTCACATTTACAGATGCAAATACATATCGTGTAAGAACACCTTTAGCAATAAGTTTTCCAAAAACTAAACGAAATGAAAAACAGGAAAAACTAAAAATTTTAGAAACTGAAAGTGAAAGAAAAAAGATGAATCCAAAAAGTTTCCAAACGTTAAATAAAATAAAAAATATGAATTTTTGAAGCAATAAAACTTAAAAAAAAAAATTGTATTAAAAAAAAATCGTTGCCGAGGATTGAACTCGGATCTCTTGAATGGTACGAAAGTGCTCTGCTCACTAGGCCATTGCCACTGATACAGCAACGTTATCGGAATTTAAATTTATTGAAAACAAACAAAAAATTTCAAAATCATTCGTTAAAAAGTTAAGTAAAGGTTTTTGTTTACTTAACTTTAATGTTCATTAAATGCCGGTAACAAATCATTAACTGACTCTGAGAGGGAATTTTTTCAAATCGTTACTGAGGGACACCTTAAGTAATCATTAAACGACTCTGAGTGCGGCTGTAAATGAATGAAAGTTTGCTGCAGACTGTTAAAAAAAATATATTTATTTAATTAAAAAAAAATCGCTGAAGATACAAGCAATTCGAAATGAAATAAAAATGGTTCGTTTTTCCACATTTATATTTAACATATCACTAGCTTAGAGTAAAAAGTTGCAAAGTCCACTTTTACAAACTTTACACGAGAGAAAAACACTTCTTATAGCCCTTTTTTCAACTAAATCGCTTCTTTTTTTTTAGTTATATTTTTTTTAGTAAATGTACGTAAACAAATGTATAAGCATTAGACCGTTCGTTAAAAAAGAAGAAAAAAGAAGATAAGCTGTGCAAAATTATATTCGAATATGATAACTCTAAGTACTTGCGCGTTGCATTTGAAAATTTAGAAAACCATATGCATTCAGGGAAAAAGTTTTAACAAAATAGCTGAAAATCGTGAATTTCATAGTCATTTGCTATGTAAAACAAGTAATTTTTAGCAAAAAAAAAACCGACTTCAACTCCCATATAAAAAAAAAAAATATATATATATATCTCATGATCCACTGATCGGATCTCAACCAGATTAGTATGGGACCACCTCTGAGACACTACCTTTCCGATGCAAAGAATTATCGAAATCGGTTGACGTGGTCCAAAGTTATGCGGTAACATACCTAAAAAAAAAAAAAATAAAAATATTCCGACTAATAATTCTAATAATAATTCTATTTGTTAGAATGTGTAACTTTTAGGTGTGCTCATACTTAAGTTATTTATTATTCTATTTTATTTATTGTTATTTATTATTTTTATAAACACATACTCAAATTGAGATCGGAACATTACCCGCAATTGGAGATTGAAAATTGGCTTTCTGACGATCTGATGGAACATTTGCAAAACGTGAATTTTTCTCTAGGAGAGAATAAAAATGTCTTTTTATTCATGATCCCAAAAAAGAATGCTTCATCATTTTCCATGGCTAGAAAAAAATATTGCATATGATTTAAAAGCAGATTTGTAAATTTTTTTTTAAATCGGATAAAAATTACTCCCCCTGAAATATAACTTTTAGCTTTAAGTTTTTTGAAATTACCGCTATATGGTGGAGCAGATTTGTAAATTTTTTTTTAAATCGGATAAAAATTACTCCCCCTGAAATATAACTTTTAGCTTTAAGTTTTTTGAAATTACCGCTATATGGTGGAGCAGATTTGTAAATTTTTTTTTAAATCGGATAAAAATTACTCCCCCTGAAATATAACTAGCTTTAAGTTTTTTGAAATTACCGCTATATGGGTGGAGCACGTGGTTGTATATCAAATATGGTCGAGATTGGTCCAAGTAGTTTTTGAGATA